CCGCATTAGCTTAGGCTTAGGCTTAGGCTTAGGCTTAGGCTTTAGCTTAGGCTTAGGCTTAGGCTTAGGCTTAGGCTTAGGCTTAGGCTTAGGCTTAGGCTTAGGCTTAGGCTTAGGCTTAGGCTTAGGCTTAGGCTTAGGCTTAGGCTTAGGCTTAGGCTTAGGCTTAGGCTTAGGCTTAGGCTTAGGCTTAGGCTTAGGCTTAGGCTTAGGCTTAGGCTTAGGCTTAGGCTTAGGCTTAGGCTTAGGCTTAGGCTTAGGCTTAGGCTTAGGCTTAGGCTTAGGCTTAGGCTTAGGCTTAGGCTTAGGCTTAGGCTTAGGCTTAGGCTTAGGCTTAGGCTTAGGCTTAGGCTTAGGCTTAGGCTTAGGCTTAGGCTTAGGCTTAGGCTTAGGCTTAGGCTTAGGCTTAGGCTTAGGCTTAGGCTTAGGCTTAGGCTTAGGCTTAGGCTTAGGCTTAGGCTTAGGCTTAGGCTTCCACAATAGCTTAGGCTTATAATTATGCTTAGGCTTCCACATTAGCTCAGGCTTATAATTATGCTTACAAGGAAAGGCTCCCAGGTCGCCATGGCCATTCAAGAAGAGATGTATACCACTAGATGTGCCTTTGAACGCTGATCTCAAATCTACCTTCCAAATCTGCTAAACGATTCTCTGAATGGAGTTATGAAGCAAAACAGCGCAACGGCAGTGGTCGGGATTTGCAGTCAAAACGTCGTAGGATCGGCCCCTGATCGCGTTTACTGTCTTGCGTTCTTCAGAGATTAGGCTAAACAGGCTATTAAAAGCTTTTAGCTGTACTCCTGAAGAAGGCAAAACAGTAACGCGATCGGGGCCGATCCTACGACGTTTTGACTGCAAATCCCGACCACTGCCGTTGCGCTGTTTTGCTTCATAACTCCATTCAGAGAATCGTTTAGCAGATTTGGAAGGTAGATTTGAGATCAGCGTTCAAAGGCACATCTAGCGGTATACATCTCTTCTTGAATGGCCTATGGCGACCTGAGAGCCTTTCCTCCTTAGGCTTCCACAACAGCTTAGGCTTATAATTATGCTTAGGCTTCCACAATAGCTTAGGCTTATAATTATGCTTAGGCTTCCACATTAGCTTAGGCTTCCACTTTAGCTTAGGCTTATAATTATGCTTAGGCTTCCACATTAGCTTAGGCTTATTTATGCTTAGGCTTCCACTTTAGCTTAGGCTTATGGTTTCTGCTTAGGCTTCCATAGTATTATAGATTAAGCCTTTTTAGGTTAGGCTTGCTCCACTTTAGCTTAGGCTTATGGTTTCTGCTTAGGCTTCCATAGTATTATAGATTAAGCCTTTTTAGGTTAGGCTTGCTCCACTTTAGCTTAGGCTTATGGTTTCTGCTTAGGCTTCCATAGTATTATAGATTAAGCCTTTTTAGGTTAGGC